ACATTTATCTCTCTAATCTACATAAAAGAAAAGAAAATACTCTATGCTTTCAAAACATATCTGAAATGCAGAACTCAGTTGTAAGATGAAGCCAAAGAGTTGCTGGACAAGCTTACTAGTACTCACAGGGGAGACATTTGTATAGTCCCTGTTTGAAGCTAAATGTCAATGGTAGTGACACAGTCAGTAAGTGCAAATTTCAACAAGGGCAAAGTCTCTTACATACAATTTATGAAGTGTACAATGACAGAATGTGGTGACTAAGCTCATATGATGCTCAGCACAGATTCACTGTTTTATATGCAATGCGGCCATGTCATGTCAACTAGTTTAATTTTTGATACTTTAGACAAATATCATATCTGAGTAAGCTAACCACTGAAAATGAGCTGTGGTGGCACAGTGCTTAAGCACTTGGTTGCTAACAGGAAGGTCAGCAGTTCAAACCCATCAGCTGCTTTGCAGGAGAAGATGTGGCAGACAAGTTCCATAAAGATTTCCACCTCAGAAACCCTGAGGGGCAATTCTACTTTATCCTATACCATGGTTCATTATGAAGTGACTAGATCTCAATGGGTTTTGGAACCACTAGGTAATTCCTCAGATAAAGAACGAATCCTATAGCCTGGGGTAACATGTGAAGCATCTTACCTATTCTATGTTCTTTTAGCAGAAGTGGTGATGGAAGTTAGGAGAGCATGGTTTACTTTTCTGAGTACTTAATCCCAAGATCAGAGACACCCCATGACACATCTACTGTCCATCAAGTGACAATACTGGCTGCCTGAGTGTGCATGATGCCTCTACTCTCCACCCATATTCCCTGCCAAGACAATTTTTTCTGTTTTTTGTTTTTTTTTTCCCCATCTCTGATACACTTCCCATGAGTAGAGATATGGGCCTTAGGGAAAGAAATTATTCCAGAGATCACATGATCTTATCCTGCAGGAAAGATTATAAAACAATTTACATCTGCCAGTGAAAATGTGGTTTTCCAATTACCTTTATTCCCCTGAAGACTGTCATCCTGGCTTTATTGATTACCATGACATGAATTATTTTCTGGGTTTTAATCACTCAGGGCATAGTCAATGGTATTTTTAAGTCCTCCTCCCTCAGTAGGTGGTTTATTAGTTAATTCAATAAATATTTATTGAGTGTCTTCAGTGTGCCATGTACTAACCTATACCATAATCAATTGCCTATGGCTAATGTCAGCCAGTTCTAATGTAATAATAAAGAAAAAAATCAACTACATAATATTAGAGTTTGTATTATTCTGGGATTAATTAAACACCTATCATAGGCATTAAAAAATGTTCCTAAACTAGTAAGTGGCAGAGCTGAGGTGCATAATTCTAGCTAGTCAGCTAGGAATCCCAGGATTCTATACTATGCAAAATCCATCTCCTCCTGGTTGGATCAGCAGTATCATCTCATGGCAGTTTTCTGCTATGAAATAAGTATCAATGGGAACAATTCTGAGGCAAATGTCTCATTACAACTTCCAGGACAGAGAGAAAAATTCAAGGAATCATCATTAGTTGGCACTCATCTGGAGAAACTGGGTTAGGAGGATGTTGGATAGGTGGAGCCTCATCTCCCTCCCTCTCCCTACCTACCAAGACTGTGCTGCCTGACACTTCCTTGCTTCTATGCACTCTTTCCCATACTCTGAGGAAGGTTAGTTTCTCTGTCAGTTTGTCCTACTGTGTGGCTTGCATGTCACTATGATGCTGAAAGCTAAGCCATCAGTATTTTAGATACCAGCAGGGTCACCAGGGTAGATAGGTCTCAGTAGACTTTCCAGACTGAGACAGACTAGGAAGAAGGAAGACATGGTCTACCTGAAAAAATTAGCCACTCAAAATCTTATGAATAGCAGTGACACACTATTGAATAGAGAACCAGAGAATGATCCCCTTAAGTTAGAAGGCATTCAGAATAAAACTGGAGAAGAGCTGCCTCCTCAAAGCAGAGGTGATCTGAATGACATGGTTGTAATAAAGCTTTTAGGACTTTCATTTGCTGATGTGGCACAACTCAAAATCAGAAGGAAGAGTTGTGAACATCCATTAATAATTGGAACTTGAAATGCATGGAGTATGAATTGAGGAAAACTGGAAGTTGTCAAAAATGAAATAGGAAACATAAAGATTGATATCCTAGGCATTAGTAAACTGAACTGGACTGGTATTGGCCATTCTCAACTGGAGAATCATATTGTCTACTATGCTGAGTAGGATAAAAGGAAGAGGAAAGGTGTCACTTTCATCATCAAAACGAATATTTCAAGATCCATCCTGAAGTACAATGCTGTCAATGACAGGATAATATCCATATGCCTACAAGAAGACAAATCAATACAACTATCATTCAAATTTATGCACCAACCACCAAAGCCAAAAAAAGGAGAAATTGAAGATTTTTACCAACTTCTACAGTCTGAAATTGACCAAACATGCAATCAAGTTAGAAATGAAGATGCAGCATCAGTAGTTGAAAAATACGGCCTCAGTGATAGAAATAATGCCAGAGATCACATGATAATACTTTGTATGAACAATGACTTATTCATTGCAAATGTCTACTGTCAACAACATAAATACCAACTATACATGTGGCCCTCACCAGACAGAATATATAGGAATCAAATTGACTACACCTGTGTAAAGAAATGGTGGAGAAGCTGAATATCACCTGTCAGAACAAAGCCAACGGCTAAGACAAATACAACCTTGATTATATCCCATATGATTTTAGAGACCATCTGAAGGACAGATTTGACACCATGAATACCAATGACTGAAGAACAGATGACTTGTGGGGTGACATCCAGAACAGCATACATGAGGAAAGCAAAAGGTCATGAACAAGACAGCAAAGAAAGAAACAATCAAACTGGATGTCAGAAGAGACTCTGAAACATGCTCTTGAATGCAGAGTAGGTAAAGCAAATGGAACAAATGATGAAGTAAAAAATCCAAACAGAAGATTTCAAAGGACAGCTCAAGAAGATAAAGTAACATATTATAATAAAATGTACACAGAACCTTGAGTTAGAAAATCAGAAGGGAAGAAAATGCTCGACATTTCCCAAGCTGAAAGAACAAACAAAAAATTCAAACCGCAACTTGCAATACTGAAGTATTCCATGGGCAAAATAATTGAATGATGCAGAAAGCATCAAAAGAAGATTGGAGGAATACAAAGAGTCACTCTCCCAAACAGAATTGGTTGACGTTCAACCATTTCAGGAGGTATCAAGAACCAATGGTACTGAATGAAGGAAGAAGTCTAAGCTGCACTGGAGGAATTGCCAAAACACAAGGCCCAGGAATTGACAGAATACCCATTGTGATGTTTCAACAAACAGAGATGCAATATTGGAAGTGCTCATTCATTTTTGCCAAGAAATTTGGAAGACAGCTACCTGGCCAATCAACTGGGAAGAGATCCACATTTGTGCTCATTGCAAAGAAAGATAACCAATGGAATGCAGGAATTATTACACAATATCAGTAATATCACAGACAAATAAAATTATGCTTAAAATAATTCAAAAATGGGTGCAGCATTACATTGACAGGGAATTGACAGAAATTTAAGCTGGATTCAGAAGAGGACATGAAATAAGGTATATCATTGCTGATGTCAGATGGATCTTGACTAAAAGTAAACAATACTAGAAATGATCACTTGTGTTTTATTGACTATGCAAAGGCTTTTAACTGTGTGGATCATTAAAAAAAAAAAAAAAATCATGCATAATGGTGCGAAGAATGGGATTTCCAGAAAACTCAATTGTGGTCATAAGGAAACTGTACATAGACCAAGAAGCAGCTGTTCAAACAGAACAAGGGGATACTGCATGGTTTAAAATCAGGAAAGGTATGTGTCAGGGTTTTTTCACTACACATACTCAGTCTGTATGCTGAGCAAATAACTCAAGAAGTTGGACTATATGAAGAACATAGCATCATGATAGGAGGAAGGTTCTTTAACAACATGTGATACACAGATAACACAACCTTGAGTGCTGAAAGTGAAGAAGACTTGAAGCAGGTACCAATAAAGATCAAAGACTATAGCCTTCCGTATGGATTATACATCAATACAAAGAAAACAAAAACATTCATAACTGGACCAATAAACAACATCATGATAAACGGTGAAAATATTGAAGTTGTCAAAGATTTCAGTTTATTTACATCCACAATCAACATCCATGGAAGCAGCAACCAAGAAATTAAACATCGTATTACACGGGGCAAATCTGCTGCAAAAAGACCTGTCTAAAGACCAACTCAGTAGCAACTAACAACACAACAATTAAGAAGGTAAGAAATGCAGCCACTCCACATTTCAAGGTGAAAGATGGGCACCAATAGGCAATACCTTCTGTCTTGACTCATTATTGTGGGGTGTTAGTATATCTCATTAAATGGCACTCAAAATTCACAACAATATCTTCTAATGATCAAGCTTATTTGATGTACCCATTGAAAATGTTTTTCTCCAACATGGACCAGATATACTGGAATTGGGTACAAGATATTCTTCCACCTTTCAAGTACAGTGTGATTGTTCAACTAATAGCATTTATTGGAGTTATAGTCAAACTTATTACCATACACTTTACTGGTTGCCTAAGGATTGGAATTCTTGCTTGCTTCATTTACTTTGCCTACACTTTCTTTCTTTTCCATCCAGGTGGATTTAAATTGAGTAATAGATTATTTCTACACCACTAATTCTGGAAATAACCACTGCTAGGATTTAGGAGCTATATATTATGAGGTTATAAATGAAATAGGATATTATTACTTGATGAAGACGATTATTTCTTGTTCTGTTTGGAAAATAACCTTACTTAATTCCTAGTTTTAAAATGGTTATGTTTGCTGTCTCTTTAAAGTCTCTGGAGGTTTTTCTACAATTCAAGTCCATACATATTGTCAAAAGCACTGTTCAACTTCAGAAAGTACAAGAGTACTCACTTGTTTAGCCTTGGTCTTTGTGATGGTATCAGAAATAGGTTTCTTTCTCTCCTTTACAGCAGTTTTAGAAAATAATTCCTCAAATTCATGACAATCTATGGATGGCTCTTCGATTTTTTCCCAAATAAGTGAAGGACTGGAATCTCTAAAGTTAAGCAAAAGATCAATGAAAAGGGCCATCAAATTAAACTAGAAGATAGCATAATAAGCATCAACAGAAAGAAAGAAAGGAAAGCAGCAAAGGCAGAAGAGAAAACTAATTAAAGGAATTTAGGGAGGAAGGAAATGAGGAAGAATGGAAGGAAGGAGGAGAGAGAAAAGGATTAGAGAGAAGGAAGGGAAAGAAGGAAGAACTGGAAAGGGGAAGGGGAGAAGCAGGAAAGAACAGTCTTTTCCTTTAAGACTTCCATTTGTTTTATCAACTCAATGAGAAAGTTAAAATATTATCAATATAGAATGCAATCTTTGCCAAGAAATAATAATTTTTAGTAATTCCAAGTTATCAAGTCACTGTATAAAAACATAAAAGGAATAAACCCCCTCAATATGGGTTACATAGGCAATAAATGCTTGCTTTCTCACAATCCCAACCTGGGTCATTAGCTTAGTGAATTATTCATAGAAGGGCATATTTCCAACACAGCATTCTCCAACACCTTCTACTGCCTCCTGCCATCTCACTGTTACTTGACTTATCAATGATTGCATATTCATTTAATACCATCTAAAAAGAAAATCACATTGAGAAAGTAGATCTGCTAAAAAAGCAAATTAATAGTAAAACAAAAGAAATTCATATAATGTCCTGGAGATAATGAGTTTTGGGTACACTATGAAATGATTAATCAGCATATATAAGACTGCAATTATACAGCAATTGGACTACAAAGTGAGAAACAGGAAATGTAGATTCTTCTCTCCTAATATGATTCATGAAAGATAAAATTAACATAAAATAAAAATGGGCCTGGTAAATATCCTGTTTCTAAAAGCATGCTACATCACACAAAGAAATTCAAGGAATCATGAAACAGTACAACCAGGAAGACCAATGAGACTTAAAGTGTATGTTTTTCCTCCCACTCTCCAATTCCCAATGAAGTAGCACAGCACTGTCTTCATGTCCAGGAATGTGGGCTATGATTATGCCTGGAGATCAACTGAGAAGTATTACTTTATGTTACTGATTTCCAATTGTGTTCTCTTGCGTCACCAGTCATCTATTAAAGGTGCCACAAAACTCTCACGTCTAAATTAATTCATACATTGGATGTGAATATGTGGATGTGGATGTGTTTCTGAGTGAAAAATTTCTGAAGAAACATTGCTGCAAACAAAATGGAATGGTAAAACAACACTATACCATTAAAATGATGCAAAAACCATCAAGAGAGCATGTTTGCCCAAATATTTGATTTATATTCAAAAGCTGCTTATCAGAAATGGAATTTAAATAGCAAAAGCAAAGAGTAAACATTTATATGGAAAATAATTTAGTCATAAGTGTCACAGCTAATCTGTCCAGACTCATTTTCTTGAGGGCCGAACTTCAGTTGGATTCAGGTATGAGTAGTACTCAGGTTCTGCAATAAGGGTATGGAAAAATCCTTGCCAAGGAAAATATATCCCTTTATCTTTGAAAGATAGATCAGTAACTATATAATAGATAGATGTACATTTTATACATTGATATATATATGCCTTTTGCTTTATTCTTTTGGTCCTTCTGGTGGAGTAAAAAAGGTTAGACTTGGAAATAACAAATCACTTCAATAAATATTGATGTAAAATCTACAGACAAGTTTTGGAGCTGCACTTAAAAATACACTAAATTGTAAATTTGCCAGAAAGTTTATGGTAAAACACTTCACTGGTAATGACAAGCTGTCCCACCACATGCCAGCACTGGAGTTACCTTTTACTATGTAGTTGGATTCTTGTCCAGTAAAGAGGCTTCATTGGCCGACAAGGCTCTATTGGCTGCTTCCTGCTCCCTTTGTCCTGACTTATGCCTAATCCGAATAAACCAGCTGGCAATGGAGGAGGAAGAAATCCACATACTTGGGGTGTTGGTAAAGTGCTACTTCCTGCTTCAGGTGGGCGTGGAAGACCTGATCCAGGGGGCAAAGGCAGTGGTGGGGGTAGAGGGACTCCTGTCCCAGGTAGAGGAGGAGCTGGAGCAGGTATAATCCCCATACCAGGTAAAGGAGGAGGTGGGGGAATTCCAGTACCAGGTAGAGGAGGGGGTGGTGGGGGAATCCCAACTCCAGGCAGAGGAGGAGGAGGAGGTATGTCCATACCAGGCAGAGGTGTGGGAGGGGGTATCCCCACTCCAGGCAGAGGTGGGGGAGGGGGTATCCCCACTCCAGGCAGAGGTGGGGGAGGG